GGTAGAATTTAGAAATTCGTCTGGTTTGAGACTTTTATCCAAAACAGACATAGGTCTTTTTCCACTTGTTAATATAATCCTGCACTTTATCGTTTTAAACCTCAATTCACTAGAACAGTAGTCAAACAAAGCTATATTATTAAAGTAAAAAGAATGTTGACTTTGGCTTCAGGAACATAACATATAACTGGGCTTAGATTATAACACTTTCTACGTTTCAGATGCAATTATAAAACACTAATTACACCCCTACCTCTTCTATATGAATTAAGAGGGTAAGTAGCAGCCACATGCTGTTAATCAAAAAGCAAAAGCAAATGTGATCACCTCTATGAAAGCGGTTGTTTCAGCGGTTTCTGGGTCGGAGCATTCAGATGTAATATGGGCTACATCTCAGACTCTCATGGCAGTGCAATTTGACTGAACAGTTGTGGCTTGTTTGGCAGGAGAAAAATCTCTTCTTTCTAAAAAGAAAGCAGCAGTTTAGGTTTGCTACGTTTCAACTGAATGACAACCAAGAAAAAAAAAAAAACCCAACATGGCCATAATGCACAGAACTACGTTTGGCAAAAACCAAAACACAGGATGCCGAGGACCTGGACACCTTACATTCACTGAGTCGACCTTCAACTTTTCTGTATACTGAAGTACTTTAGAGTCAAATGTGAGGCCATCTGTGTGACAGCTAAACCTGATTGAATTGCTGTGGTGGGACCTTAAGAAACTTTTCAATAAACCAATGCCTGCAAATATCGAGCTGAAGCAACACTGTAAAGAAGAGTGGGCCAAAATTCCTCTACAACAATGTAAGGAACTGATAAACTCATAGGGAAAATGATAAAGTTATTGCAACTAAACATACCTTCTATATTGGAAGATGTACTTTGTTTTTCACTGGACTGGATGTAAATGAATTCTCTTTCAAATTTGTTTAAAAGTTTTAGAGTACTGAAGCGTAGAGTACTGAAACATCATGGGTGAGAGAAGTCTCATGTTGCAAAAGCACCAAAAAGAACCAGTAAAGTCTGCAGATCTACATGCCGACTCTCACCAAAGTCCTATAATTAATAACTGGAAGTGGTTTCTGACACATAAGCACAGGTAAAGTGGGTAAATGCTGCCTGCCCAGCATAAAAACAAAGAGCACCAATGTCAATCAGTGGCTTTTGAAGGATGTCGTGCAAAGACCCAGATATTTTTGTGTTTTATGGACCAAAACAAAGTAATGAGGCCACTGGCGTACAGTACATTCATCAGGTAGGAAGAATCATACTGCTCCCTGGTGGTTAATCACACTTATTGCAGCAATTTCAATTTAGATTTACTGGAATTTTTGAAAATACATAAGTTGTTAAAATAGTGCTTCTCATAAAAAAACAAAACACAAATGTAATAAAACATTGTCTCTAATTATATGAAGGCTTGTTCATTTCTTCAGAGTCTGTCTTTATTCTTTCCACAAATTGCCGGCAACAATACCTAAAACCAACAACAGTCCAAGGTTTCTGTTTGAAACAAACTTTTTCCAGCAGTCTTCTGGTTTGTTGATGTCTAATGTGTAAATCTACGAGAGAAGAAAATAAATATACTTCAATGGAAAAACTAATCTTAAAACACATGTTCGATTAGAATTTAATCTGTGCATGTCTCTCATTTAAATGTTGTATTAAAGTCGACCATGGTCCTCACCTGGTTTGTCAGGTGCATTGCTACACCGGTGAGTACAGCACAGTAAGGGAGAGTCTGTTCAGCATTGACCCCAGCTAATACCAGTCCAGACATCATGGCCACAACGAAGCCACTCAGCCAGGGTTTGGTTTGCTCCTGGAAACTCAGTGCAGTAGATTTGACTCCTACTTTGATGTCATCCTCCTTATCCTATTTATGAAAGACAAAACAACGCGAGGTCACAGTCAATCAAGGTCCCTACTTTAACATGGGACACATTAATCTCATGTTCACCTCAAAGAAAAACATCAGTAAACACAGTAAACTGCAATCCTTAAACTGCATTTCTTAAATATAAAGGAACAGCTACCAGGTACTCACACTTTAAAACTGTTTTTAAATTAGTTTCAGTTTCTCGGTTCCTTTCTTCTTAAATTTACAGGTTCTCAACAGTCACTTTATTACGTATACCAGTTCACCCGGGCAAAAGTCCCTTATTGATGCCTGAGGTTAGAGGAGAATGGACAGAAAGGAAGCTGATAGGAAGGCAAGGTTAACTCAAATAACCACTCAGAAGAACATCTGCTAAAAAGCATCTCTCAACACACAACACGATGGGCTACAGCAGCAGAAAAGCACATTGGGGGCTCCTGTCAGGAAATTGAAGCTATCATTTGCAAGCTAAATTGGACAACAGATGACTGGAAAAACTGCTTTCCTGGTCTGGTGCTGATGACCTTGGTCATGATTTCTGCTGCAACATTTAAATGGCAGTGTCAGAATTTGGCATTTAAAAAAA